ACAGCAGCAACCTCTCAAACTTCCCAGAGATTCTGCACCAAAACATCAAGAACAACACCTTGGGCCGTATTCCTTCTCTATATCTCCTGCCTCCATGACCATAATAATCATGGTAGAAAGCAGAAGGCAGGAATTTCTAAGAAAGTAATCTGGCCCATACAGTTCCAGGATCTTATTCCTAAATTCTTAAGAAAGAAATCTAGATGAACAATCACTGCAAGGCACATCTTGTTTGGTTTATTATTTTTCTAGTCAATGCAGACAGTTCAATTACTCTTTCCCATACAAGTCAGAAGAGAATTTGGAGAAAGACATCTGCCCTTGACAGGCAGCATGCAAGAAGGACACGCTCACAGCATGCGATGGGAAAACCCTGACACTTGCCATCCAGCACGGAATACTGTGATACAGTACAGAACAAACATGGCTGCATCTGCCACATCTGCAGATCAGAGAAAGAGACTTTCCCCTGCAGAGATTATCATCAATTCAAGGTCCAAGGTTCAGTGCTATCGGTGTTCCAGGGTACAGGAAAGTAGAGTGTGCCAATCGTAACCTGAAATGAACTTCACGCTACAGAACTCAAGACAAAGTTGCACAGAAACGTGTGTAAATCAAAGGTAAGTGCATGCAGGTTCTTAATATTTCAGCATCTTCTATGTACAGTAGTTGTATTTCCCCCAACAAGCTTCCTAGGCAGAAGACTTGTTCTCTTTCTCATTTACAAGTGTGTGTTTTCCAAAAACATGAGGCCAGCTGGCAATAAACTGAGGGCACCAGATGGAAGTAGAATGCAAATAAGGGATATAAAAGACCTTTGACAGCTACCATTCTTGCTTATATCCTGACTGGTGATGAATTCCATCAGACAGTTCAGTTTCACCGCTCTTGTTCTAAACCACGCCACACAACTGAGCACAAGCAGAACAAAGCACACATAGATCAGAAATACAACCCTTTGGGAAACTTGACATTTCTCTCTCAGAATAGCAGCATTCAGAGGCAGCTTTTAACTCCTTGCTTTGCTAAGCCTTAAATTCCCAGACAGTCAGAAGTCCAAGGACTATGAGAACAGTTACAAATCCTAAAACCAGAAATATATGTAATTAAATGTTACCAGTACTTACCTACAGGTAATCCTAATATATGATCAGCTGAAGGTAGCCCAAATCGGAATTTCTTAGTATCATGACTGATTTCCTAAAAAGCAAGGTTAGAATAAGGTCAACATCACCACTGCTTTGAATTTCAAACTATGCTCAACACAGTATGCTTTAGTAAGCCTGCTCTGTGTTTGCATGCAAGTCAAATGCTGGGAGAGGACACAGAAACAGCTTTGAAAAATAAAGTTTAAATAAATCAGAAGTTTTAGAAGCAGTCTTCTTAATTCCACAAGGAGTGACTCTTGGGTTGTCTGCGCAATCCCTACAGCACTTCTGTGTGCAGTAAATCTGGAAACTATTGCCCAAGGCCAGTGAGCACATGCCATGACTGTGGCCAAAGATCAAGGCAAGACAGGGCGTGCAGAAGCACACGGGGTTGCATCTCCCTGGTGGCACACACACAGGACAGAAATCCAGGGAGAAACGCAGCCGGGACTTAAAACACACAAAGCAACGAGTCTACTCTCAGGAAACCCACATTCCTCAGACCCCCGACCGGCTGGCCCGCAGTCTCCAGATCCCGCGCTCAGTCACCTCCTTGTCCAGCAGTCGCAGGGGGTACTTGACGAGCGGGTCCTGCAGGGTGACGGGGCCGCTCATCCTCCGCCCACTACCCCGGAGCAGCAGCAGCAGGGCCGAGGCCGCCACCACGGCCACGGCGACGGCCACAGGCGCTCCCTGTGGGTAGGAGAAGGATAGGCGGTGAGGACTCCCGGCCCAGCTCCGGCTCCCGCTCCCGGCCCGGCCCGGCCCGGCCCGGCCCCCCCGCGCGGCCCCTCACCCCCAGCGCCTCCATGGCTGCCGCCCGCCCGCAGCTCCCGCTGGGCCGGTCCGGCTCTGCCGCGCCCTCTGCCCACTGCGCCCCGGGCCCCGCCCGGTCCCGCCTCCACTCCCGCCTCTCGGTCCCGCCCTCCCGGTCTCTCCGCCGGGCGCGCCTGGGGCCGGGCTGGGGCAGGACTGGGGAGGCGCGGCCTGGTCGTAGCGTAGCTCCGCCCCCGGCCACGCTGCCCCGGGGGCCGAATTCCCGTGCGCAGTGTCTGATTTCACAGAATCACATAATAAATAAGGTTGGAAAAGACCTCTGAGATCATAGAGCCCAACCTATGACTGAATACCACCATGTCAGACAGTGGCACTAAGTGTCACGTCCAGCTTTCCTTAAACACCTCCAGGGACAGTGATTCCACCACCTCCTTGGGCAGCCCTTTCCAATGTTTGATCATCCTTTCTGTGAAGAAATTTTTCCTGATGTCAACCTGAACCTCCTTTGGTGCAGCTTGAGGCCAATTCCTTATCCCATCTCTAGTCACTTGGGAGAAAAGCCAATCCCACCCAGCTACAGACTTCTCTTAGGAAGATGTAGAGCAATAAGATCTCCCTTGAGCCTCCTTTTCTCCAAGCTAAAAACTCCCGCAGCTACTCCTCATTGGACTTACCCTCCAGACCCTTCATCAGCTCTGTTCCCTTTTCTGGACATGCTCCAGCACCTCAATGTCCTTCTTGAACTGAGGGGCCCAGAACTGGACTGATGTGGCCTCACTGGTATGGTGTACAAGGGAACAATCACTTCCTTAGTCCTGCTGGCCCCATTTGTAAATCTAAGGCATGTTTCAGAATTCAGAGTGTTTTATCAGCCTTTCACATGTCCCATGTGCAGAGCTCGCCAACAGAGGGCTGCGGGGCAGTGTTGGAGAGGATGGAGCGCGCCACGGACACACAGCCACTGCAACCAACCAGACCCCCTCTGCACAGAACTGCAGCAGAGGAACAACCATAAAATCCAGTCCGTTCTTCCTTCCCCTACTTCAATTCTCATTGTGTTCACGTTCAGCAACAGAAACAGTGAATCAGCTTTGGTCCAGAGACCCAGTTTGCCACAGTCTTTCCTGTAAAATGGCAAAGAAACAGCAGTGCAATCTTAAAAGCTACCAATTCAATATTCACAGGTATATCTGGCATGTTTCATTTCCATACCAAACATCCTCCCTCAAGGCTGCAAGAGATACAGCCTTAATTAAAGACCATTATGACTGGGCCATCATTAGAGGCAAAGACTGTGTTACAATGCCAGTACTATTCCCAATGCTACTACAATTTTTGTTGATTATTGTCTTTTGTGACAAAGGCAGGGGCTTGGTCTGTATAAAATAAAACTTTTTTTTTTTTTCCCTCATCAAAGTATCAAGCCTAATCCTTTCCTCTTATTAATTTGTCTTACACAAACATAACATTCACAGTTCCTCTGGTGTTACTGTTAAATTCACTCTTTTGAAAGCATACAAAGAGCCAAAACTAGTCACTTCAGATGAAGAAGTAACACTATCTCTATGCACCCAGTGTATGACAATAAAGGATTCCTAAACAAGAAAAGAAACGCTGCCCTTGTGCCACTTCTCCTCATAAAGTACAAAGGAAAAATGGCTAGGGGAAAAAAGAAAACTGGGAAGATTCCATGAGAATGTAGTTTTATACTGATATGTAAATACTGTGATTGTCACATCCTTTTGGGCAGACCCACAGTGAGAGTCTGCCCAAAGAAGAGTCAGGAAAGGCATGGCATGTTCCTGCAGGCGAAGGAGCACAGAGAGCAGGACACCATCAGGACACCATTCCAGATCTAACCAAGGTGACTTATGGTCACAGATTCTCATGTTAACCAAAGGTCAGAACAAGATTTTTTCAGACATAGACTTTTATTCTAAATATTTAGATATATAGATATTTTTTACTTACACACCAACAGAAGGCTTATATCCAGATTTTAAGCATGCAGAGAACTTGAGCCTGACTCACTACTCAGGTAGCCTGCTAGTATCCTACCTGTAAAGAATTGAAGAGGTCTCCATACAAACTGTAAAAACTAAAATAGAATTCCATTACATGAGCTCCATTGAAAGTAACTTTTTACTTATTTATTTATTTTAATCAGATTTCATTTGCATCACAAAAAGTTCACATTATTGCTAAAAGACACTGGCACTGTAAAGTAGACTAAAAAGATGCAACAAACAAAAGCCAAACTAGACTACTTGTAAAACCATACTAAGAGAAACACAAATGGTCAGCATCAAGCAAACAGTAAGTCCCCTAACAAGCCAATCAAATACCAATATTCGGTAGCCTACTGAATAGATGAAAGGAATTTTCGTAAGAGATATTGATTTATCAGCATATAACCACTGCATTCAGTATCAGCATAGCTGACATCACCTATAGATCTCCCTTCACCCTTTCATTTTTCTGAACACATCCATTTGAAATTCTTGTGTTAAATTAATAAACAGATAAAAACTTAAAAGGTATTTTAAGTCACCTCGTTCTATTAAGTAAAACAGAATAGCAACTGATTATACACATCTTATATGTATCTTATATGCAAGATACACATCCTCACAAGGAGGATGCATTTAAACGCAGCTGCTGAAGCCACCAGCTTTCTTCTATTAACAAGTCAAGATTATGCATCTGTGACATGGAACAGGGAACATGCTGGAAACTCCATCTAACAAGTGTAGGAAGAAAGTCTTGGAAAAACATTTGTCTGGTGTGAGTGAAGTGGCAAGTTGTGCCTCAGTTATTCTGTCTTGCCGATAGTCACTAGTGCACATACAGATAATACTCTTCTCAATCCCGCATCCTCCAGGATACTGATCTTCAGAGCTCATTACTGGTGAAGTCACAGATGTGTGTTGATACCATTTGTTGATACACACAGAAGCTGTTGTGTAAATGCAGATTAAGGTCACCCTGCAAGCTGTTAGATTGCTGCATCATCAACAATTTGAGAGATGTATTTACATTAAAAACAATTTTGCAAGATAGATTTATATTTTATTACTAAACAGAACACATAGTACCACATAGTCTGTACTCTTGCTCTGTAAGATCACGAAGTCCTGTTACTACCATCCATAAATCTCTGTGGAGTTCCCTAAGGGAAAAAAAAAAAAAAAGTCCATTGTCAGGCTGATATAACATCGTTCTTAAAATTTGTGAATCTTAAAACCTACTAAGTTCCCAGAATGTGTGCATAGCAAAGGAATCCAGTGCCAGTCAGTGTAAGCTATAGGGAGTTGGTAACCAAAACTGCTCCAGCCATCCTGGACAGAACCACTGTCACTGGACGGAGCCACACCACACAATTCCAGGCGTTCCCAGGGAAGGGTTCATCCCAGTGTACTTACTTGGAATCAAGGCAGTGGGCAGCTGCTTCTCCACAGATATGCTCATCTGAAATTTGTACACTTACCTGCCAAGGCTGGGAGTATGGTACTTCTTCACCTCCAGTTATCCTGCTGAAGATGAACTTGGGCTGATTTGAAGGCATTCCACAAATATCATCTGAAACAGAAAGAAAACATTGATGTTTCAAGAAGTCTTTAGAGGTTAAATTTCGAGAAGCAAAGAACATTCCATTTAAGGGCTATACCCCATAGCTCCTCAAGCCTCCCTTCCCCATGCTTTTTTGCTAAGTTCTACAACCTCCCTCATTACAAAGGATCCAAATGTTTAGAACTAGCATGAAGAGATGGTCTTAGCAAAAAAAGAGCTGCACCAAGATAAAAGCTACTACTTCAAAAGTTTTAGCCTCAAATCTATAATGAGCATGGACTCATCCATCCCATTCTCCATAAAGTAGGAGGAGAAAAAGGGAAGCTCTAAAATGCTGGTTATTATTTTCAATTACCCTGTAGTCTTTGCACTTATTTTCCCTGAAGGAAGTAGGTGTAAAATGACATACAAGCTGAATTGTCATTGCACTGCTGTACATGACTTACGAGATGAATGAAAGAAGAAATATTAAGTTCTGCTAAAGGCAAATAAATCTCTCAGGTTTTCCGTAGATTCACTGCTTCTTCACCATTCAGTAGGCCTTTGTTTAATACCTCAGTAGGTTCACAATACTTTTTTTTTTCACTGAAACAATTTGCTAGAGGAGAATCTCCTAGAGCAAAATAATTCTGAATAGCTGTTTCACTGAAGAGCCCTTTGTGCTGACCCAGAGGGGCATTTTCCCAAGCTACTTGTGTTACCTGCTACATGAACAAAAGAGACTGTAGCTCTGAATCTTCCAAAGGTCTTTTGTTCCATCAGAGTGAAAGACAACCAACATCACAGCAGAGGAGCTTAGGACAAGTGCCAGTAGGGCAAATCCACAAGACTTGGCTAAAGATGAGAAAGCAAAGGCTCACTTTGCAGATTAACAGGTACAATTCCTCTCTCCTTCAACAGCAGGTATGCAATATTCTGTATATTCCAGCTCTCACACAGGAGGGTAAAAAATAACTATATACAAGATATAAGGAGACTGAGGCTGAAGGACTGTTCTATTATTACTGACATCCTGTTCTGCTCAGTAATTACCTCATCAGAAGGTAATTACATCATCCTGCTCAGTAATTACCTCATTAGAACAGGGAGTCTCTGGCAGTATTTCACAAGAGTCTATTGCAGCACTCACACTCACAGATTGCCATGACACGTGAAACACACAAATTATCTGATTTCCACTGATTACAGTGTTTCAGAATTAGCCTCTGCTAGTGCCAATCTAAGTACCAGCTTCAAGCAAGTGCTGAAATCAGTTGAGTGGGATAGGCCTTCCTCTCATTCACTGTAAGACAGGTGGCAGGAAGACTGCTCTAGAGTAAAGAACAACCAGACTCTGAAAAGCGGATCTCTTAGGTGCTTTGTGTGTCTGATCATCACTATAAAACCCAATGATTGTGTTATGTCCTTTTCTTCATTTAAATGAATTCACAACTGCATTTCATGTAGAATTTAAACACAAAAAATTATTCTGTTTGATATGGTTTTGCCTCTGTAAGTGGAACAGAGGTCAGCAATACCAGCAAGTATTTTTCGAGGTACTGAAACTAGTACCTATAAACTCTAGAGGTGAACTTGAATTTAGACTGGACAATAGGGTTAATGAAAGTCATAAAAGAAATAGGTCATCCCCAAAATAAAGAATCAAAAGCCAAACTGATTTCCTCCTCTTTTCTCACATCTTTATACGCAGTCACAGCATCATAGGAGCAATCTTCACTCTCTCCTACTTCAAAGGACTGGTAGGTAAGCTTTAAATAAAAAATTAAAAACTGAACCTTGTATTTAAAGTCACATAGAAAAAATTCAAAGATCCATGACAAGGTCTTTAGTATTCTGAATGATTCCTGTAAGTTTTGCTTTCTGTGACATTCAGACCTCCCACACGTGATACATAATATGTTACATTTTCTAGAAGAATCTGTCATGATAAAATTGAAACCAGGAAACTCTATTTTACTATAATCTAAAGGACAAATCAAAACCTCTCTGTCTTTTGGGATTGAAAGTGATTCCTCTTAACTGCATCCAGCAGCATTATTCAAGCTCATGTTGTTTAATCTTGCTTGTCAGCTGCACAATTTCTTGTTAACCCAGTGATGCCCACTTCCATACTGTAGGCACAAGAAGGTTTCATGTTATACCTTGACTACATGATCCTCTGGTGCATAAATAATCCATTGACAATCTGTCATGTTGCAGTAATGCTCTGGGTAGTTTGTAAGACTCCTTCTTCAAAAAAGACAGCTAGGGACTCACATCTAGAATCTGAAAGTCCAGGAAAACACAAATGGAAGCACTGTGACTTCCTATTAAATCATTCACCAAAAAGAAAGAAATAATCCAGAAAAAACTCTTGTGATGCTTTCTCACAGCTGAGGAAGAGAACGGGACAAGAGCAGGTCTAAAGAATATTTGCCAACTTTGTTTGGAAAGTGGAGACATGAACAAAAACAGAGGATATGTCTTTCTGATGGGCTATGCAGTGGCAAGGCTCTCAGAGGGGATTCCTCCCCACACTCTGCCAAGAAAAGAACCAGCTGGAAAAGCTGCAGAAATGGAAACAGCAGGAGTCTGTTTGTAACTTAAGACACAGCAGGTGGCCCTAGGGCCTGCTCCCTAGGGATGGTGAACTGCTCTGCACAGCATAACGAAAAGCACTTCTCTATGACATGAATTTAACATCATCTGCCTCCCTCTGGGCTCCTCCATGAAATACCAGGACTAGCAAAGCAGCTTTCATCTGGAAATTCTGCTCCTTTGATTAATCTTATTAATTGAGTTTTAAAACCATTCTGTAAGCAGGGAAGGAAATGATATCTTATATAAAAAGGATGGAGAGGATGCAAAGCTAAAGGAGGACTTCTCTCAACAGCATCCATCCTATCTTGTTCTGACATCCTAATTTTCCCCACAATATCACATAGCAGCCTAGCCACACACACCTTGTTCATTATTTCATCCACATAGGAATTCCATGGGAGCTTCCTCTGATTTATTTTCTCCTGGTTTTTTTTTGTTTGTTTTTTTTTTTTTTTTTTTTGTCAGGACACCGCCGAAGAGTGCAGACAGGTGTATTACTAAACTCAGACTTACCAGGAAGAATATCTGGTGTAATAGCTTTGTAGGTCATGGAAAAACTGGTTCCATAATCCTCCCTGTCAGAAACAAATTTCGACCTTATACTATTGGAGCCAAACAAAATAGGTAATGGAGGATCTCCTCCACAGAATTTCCCTGAAATATAACATTAGAGAATAATCACTATTCAAAGTCTTTAGTCACTTGAGAAAACCTGCATGTACCATTTTTAATACTTAGCTATAAAAATTTTATGATAGAGAGGAAATTGCCTATTCATTCATCTACTTTTCCTATTAAACCATTAGCCCAAATAGATTCACACTATTAAAAATTGAGTATTATCAACACCAGAAAGTCATATGCTAACACGTCTCCTTAACAGGCATTTTCCAATCTCTTCCCACACTCTTGATCTTTTGTTTTACGTCCTATATCACAATGTGACATAGGATTTTCATTCATTTTCATTAATCATGAAAACGTAAGTAAAACAGCCAATCTCCATGTCCTCATTGGGTGCCCTTGCTGTCAGAATTAAAGAGTATTCTGACATGTTATAGATCTTAGAGGTCTTTTCTAACCTGAGTGATTCTATGATTATTTCAAAGAATAAGATGACAACAACTCACCCACGAGTCTGTCATCTTTTGAATACACTGATAAAGAATCATAGTCACAGAATGTTTCTGGCTTTATATCAAAGTGGAAAAAACCAAAGCCATATGTAATTCTCTTCTGGCACAAATAGAGTGCATATACACAATTCAGAATAACAAATTGGTTCCCATTCACAAAAATGCAACAAAAAACCCTCCCAAACCTACACTGGTATGGGGACACTGTTTCTGAGGAAAGACTGTTTTGTCTTCTTACTGATGGTTTTCATCGAATTGTTTGGGACTTCCAGGAAAACGTAATTCCCTTTCACTGTCAATGAGTTTGCCATCCTGAGCACTACAAAATGCTGTGTTGGAGAGTTAAAACAAAATAGAAGGAATCAGGTTTAACACATATGCCATCATCTGTTCCACCGAAAAGATCAAACATCTGGAGAATATTGTAAGACTCGTGATTGCTCAGCTGTACTTTGTTTCTCCTGGCATACTGATACTGGGTCTTGTCTCTTTTATTTGGAATTATATAAGTCAGTGTTAGAACACATACTTTGGGAGCAAAAATGAAGCCCTGACAACAGGTCATCATTTTATTGTAAAAATAGCAGTGTGTGTTTATTACCTTAACAAAAATATTTATAACATGAAGATTTCAGTATAAATAATTTTTAGGAAGGAAAAATGCAAACCTCAGGACATAACAAAAGTGTTTGTGGCAGCCCACTGGTAATAATGTCCTTAGTTGTGTTACAGCAGGAGACTTTTGGAACAGTACAATATGCTGCTACAGACACTATAATAGAAGAAGCAGCTTTTCTCTCCAGCTAAGTGTCACTAGAAACCCAATTAATTACAAAAATCTTCTCCTCTTATGTTTCCTTCTCTTTGCAAGATAACATAGTAAGAACAACATTTATCAACAACTCTGTGTAAGAAAAAAATTTAAGGAGTCAAGTACTTATAAGATTATCTTACCTGCAACATCCTAGGAAGCCCAGTAAAAAAAATTCAGAAAGACACAAACAGCACTTAAATACCCAGTTCTCCCTGGCCACAGCTGGTCTACACAAACTGGCCACATGCCCAAGTGTGTTTATCATTTGAGAAGTCTCACTGTAGATTACTAAAATTAAAGTTTTAAGGTCTAGTTTAGAGTTGTTTCTAGTATTTTTATGTGAATCTGTACCTAGATGAACAGTGTCCAAGAAGAACATTAACAGGGCACATTCAACATAAGTCTTCAATTTTTAAACATGTTACATCTGGGGATGGCTTTCATGGTTGTTTTTTCTTTTTTTTTTTTCATTTTATTCTCAGAAACAGACAGTTGAGTAGATTCATCACAGACCGTGCAAAAGTACTACTTATTCACCACCTACTTTCTATTTAGAATGTACATTTTTATATAGTATCAAAATCACTAGCTAGGTTTCATGCATTGCTTGAGGTTCTAGTCTGTATTTTTCCCATTAATTTTATTTGCATTTCAATAAAAGTATGGCCTTATATATACAGCTGTTTTAAGAAAAAAAAAATTTTTTTAAGCCAGCAATGCACAAATACAACCCTCCAAATGTATTTTTTTTCAGAGAAGCAGAAGGAAAAAGTATCTATTTAAAGTATACCTTTAAAAGGGTTTTGATGAGTCAAAGCTTCTTTACATTTCTTCCTGCATAAATTATACATCCAATTATTTTAGGGGTCTTTTTATGCTCTAACACAGATAGAAGATTCTGAAAACCCCACTGTACTCACCTGTGGAGCTTTTCGTTTTCAGATCTAATAAGAGGAGGATAGGAAAGGGGGTGGAAAAAGAAGAATAAGTTACTGTAGTTTCATATCGACAATATAGAATTTACTTTTATCTGTGTGAAATTGTAATTTTATACAGCTAGTACTGAGGTAAATGCTAATGCCTCCTGGGGACATATAGTGCCTACTATAAACCAGGGCTTAGAACCAAAACAAAATTGCAAGGTCAGGCGATGCTGATTTTGGAATAAACAACTCTGGAGTAGGCACCACTAGAATTAATCACACATTGACAGGCCACTGCTCAGCCTGAGCAGCACAGCACTCGTTTTCTAGACATTTGCTGAGTAAATACCTGAGATACATTTCAGGGAAGAGCAGCAGAATCCAGTTGGCACCATCACATCAGGGATATGGAGACATTAGACCTAACAACAATTACAGTTCACGTTTTGCACCAGTGAGACAGTACAAAGGGGTGAGCAAGCAAAGCCTAGCGCAGTGCAACTGAGGATTGTGTTCTCTTTTTACCTACTGAATCACTTCTGCTGTTCACTGGAGCCAACACATTTTAATTACTGCAGTAGCTAATCCTATTATTTTTTCCTCATAATGAAATGAGCCAGCTAGTAAATTTTTTAGAAGACCCTATCTCTCTCTCTTCTAAATTGAACTCCCAAATTTTTTTCCAGAAGCTAAACCCTTTTCATTTTTCTCTGACATTGTGAGCATTCCTTTTCTGAATCACCAGTTGGAAGTGTTTTTCTAATATTAAATTTTATTTTATTTTTCCCTCCCATTTTTTTTTATTCTCATTGACTAGCTAAACCTCTTAAATAATCCTTCCTCAGTTTTTCAGTTCTCTGTGGAAGTTTTAATACAATCTCCAATACCTTTTAAGAAAAATAGCCGAAAGTAGAAGAAAACATTAATACACTTTCTTAAGACTCTCAGTAAAATCCACCTCGTCATTTCTGTTTCCAACTACATGACTTTGGAAATGATGGCTTAGTGTGACACTGTTCCCCTGCACAGAGGGCACACGTGGCCCTTTGAGCAGAGTAAGCAAAGGCACTTTTGAGAGCATGACTTGACCCTATGTTGTCTGATCCTACATGTTTAAGCCAAGAATAATTACAAGTGACTTCAAAGAGGTGCATATGGAATCTCAGACACTTTTGTGAGAAATATCTCAAATTAAAATTTCGAAGATGGCCAAATAAAGTGAAACAAAGAACTTTTATTTTCAGCGCGCGCTGGGTGCGGTCAGGTTTGCCTCGTGCCAGGGCCTGAGAACACACCGAGATGGGGGGGGGGCAGTTCTTTTAAGGTCTCTCAATTTGCATAACTGTTGCCTTGTCCCTCCCATGCTCAGCTCTGCTCTGCTCTCTTTCTTCCCTAAAAGGCAACGTAGCCTTTTCTTGAGCCTGATTGGGTCTCTCAGGGCGGGCTCACACTTCTTTTTTGCAGTCCATTGGTCGTTTTAACCAACCTATTAGATTGTTCCCCTGTCCCGGCCGCATGGTCCCTTGGCAATGAGCCCTGGCTGGTCTCATTGTCTTACAGGCTTCCCAGTTCACCACTACACAGCAATAGTAAGCAACACTAACATGATCACAACTATTAACAGGTCATGGCTGCAACAGAACTGCAGCCATAGGCAACTGTAGAACACCCCTGATCACAAACTCCTCATCATGAGGCAATCATGGAAACTCTGCTTGTAATAAAACCGTTTCATTTATTTCTCACACCTTCAACTGGCAAATTTCCACTTAAAAAAAAAAATCAAAAAAACAGGCTAACAGGCTAGCTAGATAAAAGGACCATTCTTAAAGTTAAAAAAAAAAAAAAAAAAAAAAAAAAAAAAAAAAAAAAAAAAAAAAAAAAAAAAAAAAAAAAAAAAAAAAAAAAAAAAAAAAAAAAAAAAAAAAAAAAAAAAAAAAAAAAAAAAAAAAAAAAAAAAAAAAAAAAAAAAAAAAAAAAAAAAAAAAAAAAAAAAGAAGGGTCCAAGTAGGAGGCAAAGTATAGTGGAAGGGTAACAAACATTTACAATGCTCTCAATTTGGTTTTGGCAACTGCTAATCAGTATCATACATTTAAAGGGATTATGAAATGCTACAGTGTTTTGCCAGGAAACAATGGGAAAAATATAAGTGCTATGTCCTGAAAAGACAAAAGTAAATACAATATTATGAGACGAAGGAGTTGTCACAGGTGAAGGACTCATTACTTAGACTTAATTACTTAATTACTGAGACTTAATACCAGCACTCATGTTCTCTTAAATCCAGGAAAGTACTGCACTGAGGTCTGTGAATATTCCAGGAGATCCCCTGTTGTAATGTTTCTTCTCATTACTTATCCAGCCACGGGCACATCCCATCCCCCAGAAGATCACACCAGCAAGAGTCTAGGCACCGTGCTTGTGTTGTCAACACAAAAGGGGTCCTCCTGAGTCTCCCTGCAAGAAAAACCCAAACAAGTAAAAGTCCAAGACCCACATCTTACAGAAGTACCACTGAGAAACCTTAAAAACTTTGAGTTCTCTTTTGTGCCATACTAACCCACCTGCAACATACACAGTCATTTTATATAGTCATCTTAAAAAGGGCTGTAAATACACACACCTTTTTTTATTGTGTTTAGTCAGGATTGTCAAGAGGGGAAAAGACAGATTAATTCCCTCATGAGTGTATCTCTGTCGTGTTTGAGCATGTAAAAAGGAGTGAGAAACAATCATTTAACCTTCACCTCACTTTCTTTCCTTCCTGTGATCCAAGGCAATACTTTCTGCTTTCGTCCTCAGGATCTTTGCAACATTAATTAACTTATCAAGTGTTCTGAGGTTAGAAAGCCCTAAGCATCATTGCACTTAGGATGCATTGCAAAATTGTTCCCAAGAACTTGTCATACAACTCATACAATAATTAAAATGGGATCATGTCATTAAGTGCATTGCCCCATACAGAACTTTCAAAAGAATTCATACATCAAAATAAATGCGCTCCAAATCACACAGGTTACAGTTTATTTATTTACTCTGGCACACAGAGCCTTCAGCTTCTGAGAAACACTCCTGAAAGGCACATAAACCTTCTGTTCAGCTGACCTGGCAGGCACCTTTTCCTCCATCTGGAAATCCAGCACACATTATAGTGTCACCTTGAATGCTTTTCTTTAAAGTTGATAATGCTTTTGAACACTCTTTTTTGTTTAGGATTGGCAGATCAACTTCATATAAGACCTGAGGGAGCAGTCCATGTGAAACACACAAAAAATGTTCCTAAGAAGTGCTGAAATGTGAACTTGATGTCACTGTTAATACACCACAAAAATTGGTTGGAAACTTGTCCCAAGATATTTTACTGTTACAAGCAGCTTTTTGTATACAGGCAGTTTTACTTGAATAAATTCCAACATGTTTCAAATTGAAATTCAGATCTACATTTTGCAGTGACCAATTTTGAGGTATTTCACAGGTAAGCATAGAAGCAAAGACCCCATTTTGAGATTACAGTTCTGAAGACCAATTGATGGGATTTTTTCTAGTCTGGCTCTGACCTATGCAATCAAGGTTTTAGCTTCCCAAAGAAGACACAGAAAAAGCTGAATGTCACAGAACAATGTGAGTGACTTACCTTCATCTAAGCAACCCGACCACAAGCAGTGCAGACAAATCCTGCTTCAAACTTTTCAGCTGGGTGAGGAATACATGCTGGCAAAACTGTTGAACCTGCCACATGTGGACACGGATTTTATTGGTAAGTATTTGAAAAGACATTAACAAAAATCATCCTTTATAATTTTTCAGGTTTGGTTGTTGTTTTTTTTTAAACCAAGAAAGTATTGCTATTTTTGTGGAATCTGAAAAATTAGGCTGGTATTGACAATTTATCCTCTGCATGCAAACAATAGCTTTTTCTTCATGGGAGAAAAAGATCACAGATAATTATGGCCTTACTGAAAATGAAGGCTCCATTCAGCTTCAGAAGGGCAATTTCATAGTTCATGGGCCTTCTGGGGTCACAGATTGGATGCTTAATGACAGATTTAATAGGCAGTGTCTGCTTGCCATTCTCCCTGAGCCTCAAATCATGCTCTCCTGCAGTGACAAACAAGTCCTGAAGTAAGTTCCTGTAGAATAGAAGAATTAAAGTTCAGCTACACAATCTTAAAAATGAAAGGAAAAAACATAGTTTAGAGAAACTGTTACTTCCAGATACCTAATACCTTTCATCTTCAGATTTTAGAGCGTTTAACATGCACACATCTGAGTATGGCCTACAGGAGAAATCGGGAGATGAAAAGGACTGAGAAGAAAAATCATTTAGCAACTCCTGACCGTGCTTTAGTGGTCCACTAAGGAACCAGGTCCTCTTAATGTGTTTGAAAATGTTCAGACACTCTGCTTTTTGAAGGAGAAGGGAAGAACTGGAAAGTACAGAAAAAAATGTGACCACCTCTCTACGATTCTGAGTTTATATCTTAAAAACTGAATCATGGTTTTGGGATCCTGGTACCAGATCAGATGTGCAGCAAGGAAACACAAAAGCAAACCGTATAAACTTTTTATTCTGCTTAAAATTCATTCACTGAACTTTTGGTTTTTGGGCTGAAAACCATTGGCATCCAAGAGGTCAGTACTATATCCATTCACCATTTAATTGCATATACTCTGCCAGCTGTTGCTTCTAAAATCAATGTCATGGCAATCTCGTAATTATGGTTAGATACTGATTTTTACATGCACTTCCAAAATCAGTCTTCATCAATCCCTTCATCAGTAAGTTTATTTATTACTTATTTTTGAGATGTTCAAAGGGTTTTCACACTCTTTCTACTAAAACATAGAAAATATTTATTGCAAATAAAAGGGTAGCACCTGTAAGCACCACAAAAAGATGCTACAGTGCACACATGCTTTTACAGTTAATGTTTTCCTGCACCTGCAGCCTGCGCCTGAAATACCACATCCTGTCCAAGGTGCAGTGAGCTGCAGTGACCACTCACTGAGCAGAAACAATGGTGCCTCCGCAGAAGTGCTTTTGCCTTCATTTCAGGGAAACCTGCAGCATTTAAAGAAGACACATCAAATAAAGAAAACCTTTATATCTGCTCTGATTGTGTTTGAGGAAGAAAGAAGAGGGCACACACAGGTATACTCTGAAGGTTCACACAGCTAAAATACATTCTGTGTTTCAAGCATATACTTTCATGGCATTCTTCCAGTCCTTGAGCTTAAAAGATCCTAAACCTTGCTGTTTTCCCCTCAGCTGTGACTCGGTGCCCGGATAAAAGCAACATACATGTAATAAATGCCAAGTCTCTGAAGTACCTGGCATGATGTAAAGGTGACTAATTAGTTGAGAGTTTTCCATTTACAGGTCACTGGGAGCACTTCAAATCAAGGATGCCTGGCAAGAGTTGAGGACTTGGGGTGGTGTCCTTCTGTGCCTTATTTTTGAGCTGTTTCATGTCTCTTTACAGGAGACTCATCTACAGATGCTCTTTCAGAAATCATGATAAACAACATGAAAAATTATAAGTAAAGGTTTATTAGGGAGCAGGACATGTTCTGAGCCCTTTCCATCAGCTTTATTGCTTTTCATAACAGCAGGCAGTAGTTCATCAGTAAACTATCATAGAATTGTAGATAGGCTTGGGTTGGAAGACACCTTAAGGATCCAACCCCTGCCATAGGCAGGGACACCTTCCACTAGACCAGGTTGCTCAGAGCTCCATCCAACCTGGCCTTGAACACTTCCAGGGATGGGGCTTCCACAACTTGTCTGGGCAACTTGTTCCAGTGCCTCACCACCCTCATAGCAAAGAATTTCTTCCTAATATCTGATACAAACCTGCTCTCTTTTAGTTTGAATCCAGTCCCCTTATCCTGTCACTACATGCCCTTGTAAGAAGTCCCTCTCTATCTTCCTTGTACCCCTTCAGGTACTAGAAGGCCATGATCACCCCAAAGCCTTCTCTTCTCCAGGCTGAATTATTCCAATTCTCTCAGCCTTTCCTTGTAGGAGAGGTGCTCCATCCCTCCAGTTTTCTTGGTGTCCCTCCTCTGGACTCACTCCAACAGGTCCATGTCCTTCCTGTGCTGGGGACCCCAGAGCTGATGCTTCGTCAGTGAGCACAAAGTGTGCCTATTCCCTTCTTTTGTCACATCTATGAAAAGTCAAGACTCCTTTCTGAAGGTAAAACCACATTTTCTTGTGCAAACCTGCCATGGATGTGAGCCTTGTTTCACCTGGGTTCCCCCAAAATCTGAGTGAAAAGGTTACAGTAACTCCACAAGTTTCTCTCTTGAAGTTTCTGCCCACACTTAGGATCTGAGAAGTAAAAGGGGGGAAAGAAGGAAGGATTCAGTCTGGATTTAAGTTTTACTACTTTTTGGTAATATAGAATTGGAAGGCATTTCTGTGTAAGCTGCACCACATCCAGCTCCATGGCAGGATGCTGACCCCAGTGACCATACTTTGGACTGCTTAAGTGAGCAACTTATGATAAATATTCAGGTTCCTCTGTTGTTTGGACAATCAAAATAAAGTTTTTACAGTGAAAACAATGGATTTGCAGAATTTTTGAAAATTAGCTGTAAATTTTCCTTTTTTTTCTACTACAAAATTTAAATGGAAGAAATCAGTTATGCAAACAGCCAAGATCTGGTTTTCATTCCTGTTTACTATAAATTGGTAAATATTCATCGAGGAAACAGGAACAACTGCTATCATTAATGGTTTCAAAAAAAGAATACTCTGGATTTTAAGATGTAAGACAATGGAAGAGAGGACTCACTGTATTTTTGTTTGCAGCCCATGGGTAACATGCTAAACCATGACCTTGCTGCAAATCTGGAAGCATTTAATTTCATTTGGTTATTCATAAATTGTATTTAACAATAATTTTTCTAAATCAAAGAATCAGACAAAAGTTTCATAAGAATTACTTATGAAAAGATAACTCTCAGTTACAGACTTGTATTGGAACAAAAGCAAAGAACAAAATCTAGATTCATTGTCCTCCCTCATGTCTCGGGAGCTCTCAGGTCAAAAACTTAGAGGTGAGACTAGTGCAGCTTCTTTATTTCAGTACTGACTCCCAAGCTTGTTACTGCCTAAGAGCAGAACCATCGATATCTAGAAAACTGTTAAATCTAACATGAAATTTTCATCCTACCTTCCTGAAGAGCAGCTGGCACAACACAAAGGCACATCCTGGAATGCTGTGACTGAGTGAGAGAACATGGAGAGTTTGTACAGGGAAAAAGAGACCCAAATGCTACACTGTAAGGGAACAGCAACTAACTGAAGTAGAAGTTACTCATTAATCCAGCCATACAGCTCCACAGATAAGTTTTCCAAATTTAATAGAGCATGATTCTTTTGTGAGCCATCACTGAAGTCTTTGCTGGAAAATAAATAAAATCCTCTCTAAAACTATGTTTTTCAGGCAAAATTATAACATGAATTTATCATTATATGCTTTGCCAGTAACACTTACCCAGGCAGATATACACATCGAAATAGAACACACATGAACAGAATGTCAGTTGTGATTTGCCCCTAAAATTTCTATAGCTTTTGAAGAGGCAACACTTTATATTTAGCCAATTTTATGGACCCGAGAAACATACCAAAATGTTATCATTTCATTGGCAGCATGCTTAGTGTTTTGTTATTTAGCCAAGGATTTCACAATAACAATCCCCCCAGTCCACTATCAGTGAACATCCCATCATTTAAGTATTTATTCAGTTCTACTTTTTCATTGTTCTTTGCCAATCACAGGATAACAAAACACAGCTTTTATTCTGAATATACAATTTCATAACAACTGAATATAAACCCTGTCCTAGAAACTTTGAGTTACAGCTGTTTTTTTTCTGTTATGAATACGGAATGTGAATATGGAAGTTCTTAAGAGTGTGGTTTTCCTATCAGTCTTGTGAAGTTCTCTGGTTCTGCAACTTCTGAAACCTGTATCACCAACATTATTCCAGTTCTAACTGAAAACTCTGAAGGCTGCTTTCCTTTGTGAATTCATTTGTATTTTGCAGGGAGAAAACAAACCCCCCAGCCCCTCAAATCCGTACATGTACAGTACAGCTCTCTGATGGTATAAAACTGAGAATAAACAATCTCTGTGGTTTTAAGTGATACTGAACAAACTCCCAGTGAGAAACAGAAAGAGCTGGCCCACATGCAAATGGAGAAACTACCACCCCAATCCAAATTTCTGATGGAGAGGCAGCACTTTGTGCAGCAGCCAAAGAGTTTAAACAGAAAAAGCACAGAAACGATCTGCTCCTTACGTGGGATGGCAAGACAGAAGTGCAGGTTTTGTTGTTCTCCTCTTTTGCTACCTATTTATATCTCTTCTGACAGTGTTTTCTTTATCCTGTGTGCAGATACAGGCACCAATGGCTTTCCCGCACCAGAGAGCTGCTATTGCTCCTAAAACTGGCAGCCTTGGTAGGCAGCACTGCTAGCATCAGCCCTTGTCACAGGCAAAGGTCAAACCTTATGACTTGATCTCCATCCACGCATTTGGTCTGAATCTCAACACAGAGCTGAGTTGGGCTTTGAATCCTGAACCTTTATGGTAAGGAAAACAAAGCCATTAAATCACTAGCTGTCCAAAATGGCCTGATCCATGTTTTAGCAGGTGGAGCCAGTTCCTACCCCCCAAGTAAAGGTTCTAATCCATGCTAGTCAGTCTGGGATGCCCCTTCTTTTGCTGTGTACCTCGAGAATAAAATGCTTTTAAATCCAAGCATGCTCTATGCTGTAGAAATGTGTATAGCTGCTCCTCGCAATGAGGCTATTCAACAAATAATCATGCACACATAGAAGTAAGTTGAAGACCAAGAGGAACTAAAGAATATAGATAATACTCAAGATCAAAGCCTTACAGAAGAGTTGCTCTGTTTGTCTGGCTTTGAGATATTTTTACAGGGCATCAGGTGCTGATGAGAGGGAACAAAGGCAGCTTTGGGTTACTGGACCACTGAGATGGCTGAACTGCAAGACATAGGAAGAGGGGTTTAATTCTTTCTAGAAAAGTTGCTTTGTGTTGCTGCACCTGTCCGAGGTGGAAGGAAGGTGGAAAACGTGTTCACCTACTGACAGTGTGAAGTTTAAGAGAAAAGGGGACAAGGAGTTAAGGACAGAGGGCAAAGAGGGTAAAATGAGCAGCAAATGTTGGTCAGTAATTAACCTGATAGAAGATCAGTAGAAAAGATTTAAATTGGATTGGGTTTTGTTGGTTTGGTGTTTTTTTTAAATGCAATGACCTGTGCTTTCAGGCTTCACTGATCACATCCTAACAGTTTGCCAGGAAAACAAGATATAATGTAAATTAAACTTCATAAATCCTATTAAAATATTAAACTTCATCAATCATGTCATTCATTATCTTATCATTTGTTCATATAAATTTGTATTATATTTATGAATCCAATAGTTCTTAACTGAAAGCAGATTTAGTTTTAATACAGATTGAATGTATTTGTATTTGGATAGTTGTGTAATAATTTTGATTTTCAAAAAACCTTATTTTTCACTGGTTTTAACCTATTGTAATTGCAGTGACTGGATTAAAATTACATCTAAGTTTAATGTAACAAAATAACCAAGTCTAATTCTCAAGATAAGCCCATTATTGACTACTATTTCTCCAAAATGAAAGACAACATTAAGAAATAAAAGATCTGAATGGCACAAACACAAAACTCACTTCAATTTTAATATGCTTAAAGAAACAACACCACCATCCACACACACATTGAGAGAGGGGAGCTTTGTATTCACTTTTTTTCAGCCAGAGCCTTTGTGTTACTTTAGAGATCAATGGATTGAAAAGCTGAGGGAATTACCTCAAGATTCTCAATTCCTAGAACCACAACATGAAATAACTTCAGCTCATAACCATGTTTTTTCCCCTCTCCCTCTGTACAAATAAGGTCACATCTCAGAGAAGAACAATGTGATGCCTTCAGTTGGGATTTGTGCACTTTTTTAGGCCAGCAGAGGTCACTGATAAATTCACTTGACTTGCTGCTTCCCTGCAACATTCCCACATGAATCCTAATTAAGCTAGTCTTCTAGTTAAGGATTATAGCTGGGTTTGGGTAAACATTACAAAAAAGGTCTGCAAACTAAAATTTTGCAGTAGCAACACTCACCATGCTATCAATTAATTTTTCAGAAAGATTCATATCCATGATTTTTCCAGCACTCAAGCATTTTTTGGGAAGCAAAATGCTTGTCTGAAAATTAGGCAAATAAATATTTGTATATTTATGAATTTAGTCAGAGACTAAAGTTTTAAGCCAATACCATTTTGAACTTATTTAATTCCATCCATTAATAAAAATGGTGCTGACGATTGTTTTTATACCAAGGACAAACAATTAGTTGAAAATAAGGCAGATGTTTCACAAGTGATCAAAAACAACTGATGTATGTTCTCACAGTGCTTGCAGGTTCATTATAGCTTTAAACAAGCCCAAATTTAGGCTGCTACCAAAGAGGGCAGTTGTGCTCCAACTCCCATGGAAGTGTCTGTTTCAGTTCCTTTCCAAGCTTTGTGACAACCTCCTGTCTAGTTCTGGATAATAAACATGTCTCAGCTAAATGTTCTGCAATATTAAAACATCATTTATCACACTCTGGGGATTATGAAGTCCCTTTGAGTGTGAAATCCCTGAAAGGGTAAAGTATCTTTATGAGACTTCTAGCAGCGTAGCAGGATTTAAAATATACAGTCACCTAACAACTCAGTTGTTCAAATAGGAAAGTTGCTACCACCCCTACACAACTTAAGTCTGCTCCACATCATCCCAGGTTTTAGATCAGATTCCCTTGGATGCAAACAGCTTTCTGAGACTTCATGCCTTTAACATTTTCTCCTTCTCTCCCACTGTGTTCCCGTTACAGCCCACCACAAAACTGAGTGTTCTTGCCTCAGAGAGACATTTAGTTGTTTTATTACTTCCAGTTAACTCAAGTAAAGACTCAGAGGGATCAGTAAAACAGAAAGGCTGCCTTTAGCTGATGTTTTTTACTTCAACTTGCTCTATCCTCCTAAATTCTTCAGTTGACCCATCAGAACAGAACAAATTGCACAACAGAAGAATGTTCAAAAGAGCACTTGGTGGAATAAGAACCCACAGAAACTCCCCAAGACGCTGTTTCCCAGAACACTTGGTCTTTAACTCAGGATTTTGGATACACATCAAGATCTATTTGAGTCTCCTGTGCAGAAAGGAGTGGAATTTTAGTGGAAAATACGCCAAGTTCTTTTTCATCCTGAAAAGCGCAGTAGTTGCTGTATGAGCCAAAAGTAACCAGTAACCAAGAAAAGAAACAACACCTGCTGGCCTTTTCCCACTTTTCACTACAGCTCCATTTTTCTTGCTTTGAGAGCTCACCAATATATGAGAATTATGGATACAGACTCAGTTACTGACATCTATGATGAGTAATACATACATTTTTCCTTTTGTAACTAAGTTGTCTCCTGGACAGAGATTTTACCTTTCAAAGTAAACAAGACCAAAACCAAACAAGATGAATAATGTCAACAAATGCAAAAATACTGCACGCTATGAAGAACACAGTGGATTAAGATATCAGCCAAAGCTTCCCTTGGATAGAGTCCAGCCTTATATCTATGGCATAACTGATTAACTGGGAAAGGACAAACGAAAGAAGAGAAAGGGAACAAAATTTTGCTTAGCTCAAGTATTTGGCCTGAATGTCTCAAAATGCTTTGTAAGGAAAGATCAATACTGACATTTTTCAGCTAAGGAAGATCTGGGATATGGATTAAACAAATCATCAACAGTCAAAAGCAAGCTGGTCACTTAATTCACAAATGTATAGCACCCTCTTGGGAATGTTTTGTTGCTAGTGAAACATATAGTCTGAATACCACAGTGGTAGCCTCTCAATGTAAATAAAAAATAGAGGAACACTAAAGCATTCAATTTTTTGTAACTGCACTATTTTATGTATATTAGCAATCACTGCAGGTATCCAGACTTTGTATTTAGCACCCTCTCATATTCAGAATAGTAAAGGCAGAAATGCAGTGAGCCTGAGCCCATGAGGAATTGTACCACAGAGGAGTTAGGATGAGCACAAAGGGTGTGAGCTCCTGGGTCTCCTCACTCAGATGGAGCAGATATCAAGAAAAGGTCCTTCACCTGGA